GGCCACTGACTCTTAGGGTCCTTCCAGAACTGGCAAAACCTTCTCCTCAGATCTTCCACCTTCCCTCGAGTGTCTAGACCAAACCTCTCCATCTCACGTGTGAGGTCCTCTTTACGCAATTCGTGGATCCACCCCACGCGAGGATCATCGAACGGAGACCTCAAGCCTTCACCCAAAATTGTCGGGTTTGTCCTTGGGATCACCCCTAGAGTCGCAGGGGGTATTACATCCCGCGTGACATTGAGAGGGTTCGCAGTACTACTGGTAGTCACCGTAAAGGTCCCAGCGCAAGTCGTCACTACCACCGGTACTGTGGTAACGGTTTGAGCAACCGACGACTCAACTTCAGTGGTATTCGGCATGACCGTAACACGGGCCTAATCAGATAAAGTCAAAAATAAAATAAAAAATTATTAAATTAGAAAAAATTAAATTCGCCCACGTCTATGTTTAGGTGTTATCACACTTAAGCCCTTATCACCAGTTATAACAGTTAAATAAAATGCCTAAGTACCAACAAGCTATTTAAAAGAGTAATAAAGCAAGTACTAAATTATCAAATCAACACCAAAATAAAAAAAAATAAAATTATACTATACACCCCACAAAGATAAATGCAGGTTCAATAAATATAATATATACAACTGGCAATAACTGGTTGCTAAGACTAGCACAAAAGTATCGGCCAAAATTGGCTATGCTACGTGGGCTAAATAAATTCACAACCACAATTTTAAATAATAATTGGTCGTTAACTAGTTTTACTTGGTCGTTAGTTAGCCTAAAAACAAGCGCTAGTTCCCTCCAACTGATATAAACCAGCTCAAACTAGAGTTAGAATACACTAGGTATATGCTAACTAACTAAAATTAAAACCCAACTCCAGTAAAACTAAGTCCAAATCAATCAAAAAATGTCTACTCGTTCGGGCGCCAATGTAACGTGGCGTTTTTCCCGCTCGGAATATATGCGCTATTCCGTAGTTAAAGCGGGAAAGACGTCACCAACTCTCGCCAGCGGATCGCTCAAGTCGGCGTGCTGGGAAGTTTCCAGGGTTCAGATAAAAATAATTTATTTAATTAACTCAACAACCTAGCACAGGTACAGATTTGTATTTACGCAAAAATGTAGTGTGAATCAGGTGTGAACTCAGTACCGGTAACCAACAACGCTACTGTACCATCATCATCGTTCACACCTGGGAACAGCTAATTAAATTAAATTTAAAAATAATGAAAAACCATTCAACGAAATTTTGAAACAATTTAATGTTGCAGTTTCGTCAACCTCAACACTTAGAATATTTCTTCTGAATATACTTAGCGTGCTCCACCCGACCTCGTGTTTGCACGACCTGCAGAGACGGGTTCAACTTTGCCCGCTTTGCCGCAGCAGTTAAACACCTACTGAATATCCCGGCAAAATACCCGCTATAACCCCGTCACCCTCAATATATATTGTAAACACAATATTAAACGAAATTTGTATCCCTAAAACTCTTTATTGCCACCCACGGGAGCCCTAGCATACGCTAAAGCGGACTTATACAAGTTCTAACACCCGACAAAGATCCTACCGTGAGTTTTACGTCTAAAAGAATAAAATGAGGGTTTACCGCTAAATAATAAAAAATAATAGTACACACTATTAAGATAAAGCCGAAGAATTACCTGTATACTCCAGGGATCTTCACTGATACACTAAGTAACGCGTTTAGCAAAATCACTAAAGTAATCACTCTAACGTCCTAACTCTCGCAATCGCAGGATTAGAATGGTCGTCGCATCCCTAGCCCACAAGGGATCTCCTCTTTCCCCCCTCCCTAATCCTCTAGGGATGGAGAATCAGCTGATTCGACTCCCAGCTGATCGGTGACGTCACGAGTTCAAACTTGGCGCTGTTGCAACACAACGCCAAGACAGCCGACTAGTGGTACAGGTTATGTTGTTATTTACCTACGCCGACTGTGAAATTATACGCGGAACTTTAATATCATTGCTGGTTTAAACAAAAAGTATAATTTCCACCCGTGACGTGTAGCTTAGTGTGCGACAAAGTGTATGCATGTTATGTACGTGATATTGTATTCGTGATCGCGGTTCACCACCCTAGCCTAAACAACAACTTTGACCGTACTTCCCAAAGGTGTATATTAGGTATGGGGGTTACCCGGAAACGGTTTATCACTCGTTTTGTACACAACGATGCAATACTGTGACTTGTGAATCCCAAAAATAGTGTCTTTAGTGATTTTGCTAAAAGTGAGGTTATCCCTACTTCAACCCTAGGATAGACCTAGAACAGCCTATTTACCTTACCATGATAGGTTTACCACTATCACCAACCAGGTAAGGAATAGGCCTACTGATAATTAAATAATAAATATAAAAACTTAACCCCTCTATAATTTTGACCCATTACAAGCATATGGATACCAGCATACGCATACCAGCATACGGATACCAGTATACGCATACCATCATATGGATACCAGCATACGCATACCAGCATATGGATACCAGCATACACATACCAGCAGACGGATACCTGAGGAACGGCTTGCCCTCTGGGAGCTTATCAACACATAAAGAACATCAAGAACGTGACGAACACCAAGAATTTCAAGAACAACAACATCAAGAAAAATTATTGTTTTTAAATTTTTATTTTAGAAAATACATTTTAATATATGAATTATTTGTTTGTGCTTATCTTTGAGCTTATTTAAATTATAAAGGGACTCACCTTTGGCTCGCTGGGGGATCCGCCCCCAGGCCCCTAGCTGTTATGTTAGTCGTCATTAGTATAGTTTAGTTTTTACAATGCACGAAGAGGTGAAATTTTTTGGAAAACTTTCAATAGAGGAGGTTGGAAAGTTATCTTGGAGCTCGACCTTAAAGAACTTCTCATAAAATTTGTTTTTTAAATTGCGGTAAGAGAGTATGTTAGTTAAGTATTTTCAAAACTGAGTTGTTGGTCAAGCAAAATACTAATATAAGGAGAGTAGGATTCGTTATAGTGAAAATCTACATTAAAGTAATAACGATTTCATGAATATATATTAGAGGAGATTGATAAGTTCATAAGTTGATAATAGTAAAGTATTATATGAAGTAAATAGATTATAGTAGATATTCATGTATATATTTATGAAAATAGATTAAGTAATGTTTGTTTCCCTGTCGGTTAGCCATAACGTTATAGCATATCCAGTTCCGCCACGAGGAGGCCAGGAAACGTCGGAACCATAGGCTATTTGCAATTATTTAAAAATATACAAGTTAGTAAACTTTTGTATAAGATAAGTAAATTGATGTAGTTTGAAAAGTAATAAGTTGATAATAGTAAAGTACTAGCTGTGTGTCCGTTCTACGCACGGGGAGCTTGTAGTAGTCAGTTAAAACCTTCTTACATTAAGAACAGCGGTTGGTTTGCATATTTTCAGATGAGCTGGCAAGCCTATTACTGTATATATAAACCTTCGCAAATACAGTATCTGACAGTTTCAAGCCAAAACAAATGCTTCGCAATTAAATGTCACCCGGATCGTGTTGGTCCATATGTTAAATCAAATGATTAAACTAAAATAAGCTTTATATGCCTAGATCTATGAGGCATAGCCCTAAGGTAGGCATATAGTTGAAAGTTACTTCTCACAATTGTTAAAAGTATTTAAAGCACTACCTCAACCTCACCATATAACACTTTATTCGGGTTGACATTTTCATTATCAAAGGTGCTCTTGTCTTTTTCGTGGCCCTGAGAAATAAGGACATTAATGCGTTACCAACAGACATACACACAAAAATACAGAACTTAATTAGGGAATTTGCTACGTTTTAAGCATAACAAAAGTGCATATAAAATTAGAATTAGAAATCTTTGTCAATGTCATCAAATTTTATCATAACAATTTATATTTGCTTGGACCGAAGATGACCCAAAATGCTGTCGAAATGACGGCTTACTATATGAAATGAAGTACTATAGACAATTTAGATTGGTAATTTATAATAAAAATTACCAAAATAGGCCACTAACTATTGATACATAAACAACAATTCATGATGGTTTGCTCAACAAATGTTTTACAAATGAGTTATCATTTTCTTAGCATAAACTAACATTTTGGAATCCAGACAGAAAAAGCAAACTTACACAGTTAAGACATCAATTAAATTGAATACGGCTGTAATACGACTGTGTAAATAAGGTGCAACAAAACGATAACTAATTTGTAAATTACAGTGATGTGTTGGTACGTAAAAATGATTCTTGCTGCTACCAACGGTTCTAAGGAAAAGAACCAGTACCAAAAACCAACCTTTACAGTTAAGGATTACGTCCGACCAATTAAATGCGTTAATCAAGTCCCAGAGGTTATTGATTTCTTGGTTTTGGATTTTCTCGTAAAAATTGATCGGCAATCAAAGTTATTTCCCATTAAATGCTTTATTCATAAAAAGCTTTTAATATAAACTTATATTGGTGTCAGTCTGAAAAAAAACAACCTTATACAAACAGCTTTTTGTTATTTAATAGGTTACGTATTCTCTAAATAATGATTGGTACATATTTTAACATGAGAAGGAAATGTGACAAATATCACACAATGCTGGGTTTTTGGACGATTGTAATTGTATTTCTTAAGGCCGTGTATTCTAGGGAAAAGTACCGGTATCAAGGATCGTCATCGAAAAGGTTGTTATGAATAATTGGGTAGGCGTAAGTATCCAAGAGACCAAGAGATGGGCTATGGGCCTATTGGCTGTATGGTCCAGCGATTGCATCACACGGTGAGTAGGAACAGAAAGTGACACATTGGTAAAGCGAGTTTAGCATCATCCATAAACCGTAAACCTCTGTTACAATCACCCACTGCAGTTGTGATTTTTTACTTTACACTTTACACAACCGCCATTGAAGTGCCGTCAATGAGTGGAAACCTTGTTTGTAATCTATTGGCACAGACAATGGAAACCCAGACGTATCACTGCGCGATGCGTAGGGCCCCGTCACATCCTAACTCTAGCGGAGAATCGAGGAAACACGCAGTCTCGCGCTCGCCTCGCCAGCACAGAAAACGTACTACCATTGACTATAAATCCTTAAAAGACAACGCATGTAGTACTAAAAAGCGTAGCCAGCAAAATATCCTAGCGGAGATTAGCAGAACTAGTTCAGTACCTCTATGCGGTGTCGTTCCTAGCGGCAATGGCTGGAAACTCGTGTTGTGTTGTAAGTGCTGCGCGCGCACGCGTGCATCCCCGCTCCGCTGCCGACAATCCAGCCAGGTCGCGGTCCTCTTTGATCTCCCTACCGTCCGACTCACCGGCGCCGCCGCATGGTTCGCCTCGCATAGGCCCTGCGCGGTGATCGATCCCTTCACAATAATCTCTATGCAAACGCGTTGTCGTTTTTATATATTATATTACTTATATATAAATTAATGTATTTATTATATGTATTATTATTTATTTATATTATTTACTGTTATTGTTTATTTATTATTATTATCACGTACACAGATTTATGCTATATTCGAAACTTTGTAAAAATAGATCCAACTGCCATTACTGCTATAAATATGGCCGTTACAAATGCTGGTAGATTGGTCATGTGTACAGCAACAAAAAGCTGTAATAAACATTGAGAACTGTCAAAGTAGGATTGATTTCAGTTATGTTTATGTTCTAATAAGAAATATGTGATATTGTGCATGTAGAAATTGGTGTAGAAATGTGTGGGGTAGAAATTGGTATTTCCCATTTTGTCCCAAAAAAACATATGATTTAGCCATTTGTTTCCAAACCATTTTGTAGAGCATTTCAGTAACACTTTTTAAATAATTTAGTATATTGAAGTGTTATTATGCATCTAATGGTTACGGAGAAATAGTTATTTGTGCAACTAGTGAGCAAAGGGAGCAACTGACTCACTCGACATAGCCCTAAGGTAGGCCTGAAAGTTACTTTCCACAATGGTTAAAAGTATATAAGGTACTACATTAACCTCACAATTTAACACTTTATTCGGGTTGATATTTTTCATTATCAAGGTGCGCTTGTCCTTTCCGTGAAATACTGAGAAATAAAGGACATTAATGCGTTACCAACAGACATACACACACAAATCCAGAACTTAATTAGGGAATTTGCTACGCTTTAAGCATAACAAAGTACATATAAAATTAGTATTTGAAATCTTTGTTAATGTCATCAAATTTTATCATAACAATTTATATTTGCTTGGACCGAAGATGACCCGTAATGCTGTCGAAATGACGGCTTACTTTATGAAATGAAGTAGGCCTACTATAGACAATTTAGATTGATAATTTATAATAAAAATTACCAAAATAGGCCACGAACTATTGATGCATAAACAACGTAAAGCGTTTAAACAATTCATGATGGTTTACTGAGTTTTACTAAAATGCGTTAGCCTATCGTTTTCTTAGCATAAACTAACATTTTGGAATCCAGATAGAAAAAGCAAAACTTATACAGTTAAATTGAATACGCCTGTAATAAATAAGGTGCAACACCAACGATAACTAATTTGTAAATTACAATGATGTTGTAGTACGTAAAAATTATTCTTGCTGCTACCAACGGTTCTAAGGGAAATCAGTACCAAAAACCAACGTTTACAGTTAAGAACTGTGTAGTACATCCGACCAACTGTATGCGTTAATCAAGTCCCGAGGATATTGATCTCTTGGTTTTGGATTTTCTCGTAAAAGGTTATTGGCAGTCAAAGTTATTTACCACTAGCTGTAACCCGCGGGCTTTGCCCCGTTTAACTTCTTAATTTTCAAGATTATCTCGTTCGCATGGCTCAATCACGTCCTGGTTGAAGTTTGTTCGCTACGCTCACTCACCTTTGGGTTGAAGCTCGTTCGCTACGCTCACTCACCGTTAGGTTGGAGCTCGTTCGCTGCGCTCACTTGCCTTCAGGTTAGCTCGTTCGCTACGCTAACTCGCCTCCAGGTTGAAGTTTGTTCGCTACGCTCACTCACCTTTTGGTTGCAAATTAGCTGTTGTCATAAATGTAAAAGAAATAATAGTGCTGCACCCTGTTGGTAATCCTTGTAACTTTAATGCTATTGAACATCACAGAACAGAACCAACTTGTTTAATTGAAACAGCTGTTAAGATTCAATAATTCCATTTCTCATAAGGTTAACATGGGAAACTCCAGAGCCACTGGGGCGGAGCCCGAAAGGATTTTTGAAATAAGAATATGCCTATATGTTAATCGGGAATGTGAGCTATCATCATGCCAAATTTCAGCCCAATCCGACCAGTATTTTTCGCGTTCACTTGTCACAAACATACATCCATACATCCATACATACATCCATACATCTAAACTTTCTCATTTATAATATTAGTAGGAAGTAGGATTAATTGCTTCTTTTATAAACAACTTTTAATGTAAACTTATCTGTGTCAGTTAAAAAAAAAACAAAAAAAACAACCTTATACGAACAACTGTGTTGTTATTTAACAGATTACGTATTCTCTAAACAATGATTGGTATAGGCTATCCATTAACATTAGAAGGGAATGTGATAAAAATCACACAACGTTGGGTTTTTGGACGTTTGTAATTTTATTTCTTAAGTAGGTAGGCCGTGTATCTTAGGAAAAAGTACCGGCATCAAGGATCGTCGTCAAAAAGGTTGTTATGAATAATTGGCTAGGCGTACGTACCCAAGAGATGGACTATTTGCGTATTCGCTGTATGGTCCAGCGATTGCATCACACGGTGAGTAGGAGCTATTGACTATATATATAGTCAATGGTAGGAACAGAAAGTGACACATTGGAAAATCGAGTTTAGCATCATCCGTAAACCTCTGTTACAATCACCGCAGTTGTGATTTTTTTACTTTACACTTTACACAACCGCCATTGAAGCGCCGTCACTGAGTGGAAATCTTGTTTCTAAGCTATTGGCGACGATCGTTATTAAATTTAAGTTTCCCACCCGTATACAACACTGATTCAAGGTCTTCTTTCTTGTTATCAAAACTCAAGAACAATTTCATACTCTAAAGAATTTCTGGTTCCTGACCTGAATGATACCTAGTTAATTAATTTCATTTACGGTTACACTATTACACTATATTATTGAACTTGCGATTAATTAAATCCGTTATGTAAGAAAAACGTGTTTAATCTCACTTCGTTGAGATTCGCTTTCAAAACATGATCGAAAATGGTTGCGGTATTTGTAAACAACATTTGTAAACATATCAGTGACAGCTAGAACAAATAATCTTGATCCGAACAGCTGTTCGTTATTTCATAGGTGATTATGTGATAAAAATTGGACGAAAACTTTAAAAAATCGCACAAAACTGCATTTTTGAACATCCGTAATTTTATTTACAAAGTAGTGAGACCATATTTTAATGGCTAAAGACACTCTCACCAATCCAGTAAATACATTAAAACGACTTGGATCTTGATAGGTACTCTCGTTTTCCTGGAGAAGATTGCATAAAATGCCATCTTGAGTGTTGCAGACAGACAGACAGACAGACAGACAGACAGACAGACAGACAGACAGACAGAAATTTAGATGAGACTTGTTTCGGCTTCTTCAATGTATAAAACGTAAAAATAACCTAAAAATTTATGATTCTGAGCAATGTACAGACAAAACTCTAATTTGATTTATATAGATAAGGTGCAGCAGTGTTTATAAATAAATAGTGAAAATAGTGACGTGTTTGTATGTAAAAATGATTCTTACTGCTACCACCGGTTCTAAGGAAAAGTAGCAGTACCAAAAACCAACGTTTACATTACTACGTACTTACGACTAATTCAAACTGTCCTTCTAATCAAACTGTATTATAGGTGTTAATCTGTTGGCAAATATATAAATAAATAAATACACAGGCCACAAAACATGTAACATGTAACGTTAACAACGTAAAGCTTTGAAAACTCACTATGGTTTGCTAAAAAAAACTTTCACTTGATGTGGTGCAGTACCAAAGTTATTAATCTCCTATGGTTTTACATTTTTTTTAAGTTTTCGAAAATCAAAGTTATTTCCCATTAATAGCATTATTTGTAAGTCGCTTTTAATGTTAACATATTAATGACAGTTTCAAGAAACCACCTTTATCCAAACAAAGGTTTCTTATTTAAAAGATTACGTAATCTCTAAACGATAATCGGTACATATATCTAGCAAACATTTGGAGGAAATGTGACAAAAAACTCACAAATCTGGGGTTTTGTACGTTTGTAGTTTTATTTCCTAAGTAGGAAAAGTACCGATATCGTTGTCGAAATGTAAGTAAGTAGAAACTAAAAGTGACACATTGGAAAAGCGAGTTTATCTACATCTGTTAAGTTAAACCTCTGTTACGGTACGATCACAGCGAAATCAGAAAGATCTTCCAAGATCGCAGCAACATCCACGATCACCCACTGCAGTTGAGTAGGTTGTTTCGCGGGGGTGATCCCGTGACGTCATAATTAGGTAATTGGTAAGTATTTTGAGATTGTAGAGCAGCGTGGATTACGCAGCGACTCTGGCAATGTATGTTGTAGATTGGTTGGTATTGTTATTAGGTCAAGGTTGTCTGAATGTGTTTTTTTAATGTTCAGCTTTAATGTTTCAAATATACCATGTACTGGATTGTAAAAATATGTATTGTTCCATTTAACTATCCATCAACTAGCTGTCTCATATAATCTTCAAACTCTGGGCGGAGAAAGTACGAGGTACTAGATACTTGTGAGTTCTGTATCGGTGACATAGTTACGTCTACTGCGTTTTGTTCTTGAGTGTTTTGTTTTTGAGTGTTTTGTTCTTGAATATTATTATTTGAGATATTAGATGTTGAAGATATATTGGGGTCTTGAATAGGAGCTGAATTTCTTGTAGACATGTTTTCTTGACGGTAGTTCAGAGTCAAATGATCTGTAGTTTACTCTGTTAACACTTATATAGTGTTTACAGAAGTTCTAAATGTTTGCATAAAGACGTTTCAATCTTCCGAGAGATGACTCTCACGGAACGACAACAGATGTGAGTGTTCGCATGTGTGCGCATATAAATAACTAGGCCTACTCGTTCTCGCGGGGGACCGACATGTGATTAACTGTTATTGCTTTGCTTTTTCTAGCGTCACTGATTACGCTTAGCGGTGTTACGGCTTTTTGTTAATGGATGATTTTATCTATGCAGGAGGTGAGTAACCTATTATTGTTACTGCATTGTGTTCAAGATTGTTGTTTGTCGTGCAAACTAGACACGATTCATTCGTATTGCGTACTGCTTTGTGTCAAGCAATTTTATCCTGTCACATTTTGTAATTTCCAGAGTTTTAATTATATTTCCCTGTTGTATTTTAAGTTTAAGTGTTTTCAGTTTGTGATACACGTCGCCCCATTGTGATTTGTGGAATATTCCCTAAATATACAGGTAATTAATTTTTCTTGTTATATACATCTAATATATAAAATTCTCGTGTCACAGTGTTTGTCTGCAAACTCCTCCGGAACGACTTCACCGATCGTTATGAAATTTGGTGTGTAAATTCTGTAGGTATGCGAATCGGACGTAAACTATTTCCCGTTTCGAAATTCTTAAAAGGGCTCCGCCCCAGTGGCTCTGGAATTTCCCATGTTAACCTTATGAGAAATGGAATTATTGAATCTTAACAGCTGTTTCAATTAAACAAGTTGGTTCTGTTCTATGATGTTCAATAGCATTAAAGTTACAAGGATTACCAACAGGGTGCAGCACTATTATTTCTTTTACATTTATGACAACAGCTAATTTGCAACCAAAAGGTGAGTGAGCGTAGCGAACGAACTTCAACCTGGAGGCGAGTTAGCGTAGCGAACGAGCTAACCTGAAGGCGAGTGAGCGCAGCGAACGAGCTCCAACCTAAAGGTGAGTGAGCGTAGTGAACGAGCTCCAACCCAAAGGTGAGTGAGCGTAGCGAACGATCTTCAACCTGGAGGCGAGTTAGCGTAGCGAACGAGCTAACCTGAAGGCAAGTGAGCGCAGCGAACGAGCTCCAACCCAAAGGTGAGTGAGCGTAGCGAACGAACTTCAACCAGGACGTGATTGAGCGATGCGAACGAGATCATCTTGAAAATTAAACGTAACGGTACTTTCTTTCCATCGGTCTGTCTTAGGGGAAACCTATAACTTAGGCGATACGAAGTTCGCCGGGTCAGCTAGTATATATATATATATATATATATATATATAGTATCCTAATATATATTAGCTTTTACTATTTATTTATAAGAAGCTCACTCCTTAATCATTACTTAAATTAGCTCAACTATTTGTATGAAAGATCCTACGACTATTTCGTCTAATCATTTAAATACAAACTTTCTCATAATATAAAAATGAAACTAACATATCTTTCAAATGTAATCCTAATTATATGAAAACTTTAAAAGGCTATAAACAAATATTTCGGTAAATCTGCACTTACAAAACACTTATCTTTACTCAAAAATTCTTTTGCTGTATGAATACAACTATATATGTTACAACCATCTTTACTGCCTATTTTATAATAATTTTCTACATAAAACGGCTTTCGATTAGAAATATTTTAGGTATTGGCAGTGAGTTTTTAGTCTTCTCATGTGATATAAAAATTTGAGGTCAATAAAATAGATGAAGTTCTGGACCATCTCACTAGAGTTTACTAGTGTATTTTGTTGAATATTAATTAACACTAATGCAGTATCATAGCAAACAGCTGATTGATTTATCACTTAACAGATTGCACTACGTTTTTTTTTTGCTTCAAATTTTTACATTACTTGGGAAGTCTATTCTGTGTATAGTCAATGGTTTTATGTTTTTAAGAAAATTGGTTTTCCAATATCGCACAATTTATTTACGATCGCTAAATCACTATACGTATTTAATGTCTCACATTTTGTAACAGATGTTATGTATACCGCAAATGATCTTTCTTGTGATATATACAAACAAAAAACTATATTATTTACCTCTTTGTAGTCTATTTACAAATCATTATATTATAATAAAAAATAAATGATCTAGGCTAAAAAAATATCTTATAATATACATTGTCAAAATAAATGTATGTTTATTCAAGTTCGCCTCATATTTTGTTGTGGTCCTAATGATAATATTAATTACCTTTTGTTGTTTTTGTATTTGTTAAAATATGGACTGATTAAACTGAATAACTTAACATTTTTAAGATTGAAAAATGGTTACCGATTTCCTTAACTAACAATGTATAAACATATACATTGTTATTCACAAAACGAGATATGTAAATATGACTCTAATACATTAATTAATAACTTGTTTGGATTATTAAAGGTAAAATGTGATTGCCTAAAATTATACTTTGTTTTTTATTGAAAATTGCTTTATTGACATACGTAAAAATTTCTTCACATTCTAATAATCATAATAATAGAAAACTATATATTTTACTTAACAATTTTTATATTAAATTATTCTTTGTTCTTTTATCTCAAATTGCTTTCTTACGTACATGAATTGACTCACTTTTTGTTATGCTCTTAAATTATAATATTAATCAAGGTACTTCTCATAGTCAGTTGCTGACTTTATTAAAATACAGCTTGATTAAATTGGTTGTTTTTTATACGATTTTCCTAACATATGATTTGTTCTTCTCAAAATAAACATATAAAATGGTTCTAATACTTAATTGCTTAATTTGTTTTTTTTTCTTCTAGAGTTAACTAACACAGCTTAACTTGAAACACGGAGTGTTCCTGATTTACTACAGGTAATTATTTGAAAAATCTTAGTTTACGCATAGTTCAGATGGTTTCTATCTCTTTGTAATCTTTCTTAAAAAATACATGTACAACTAGATATATTTTAGTTAATAGTATTTGTAAAATGCTACGATTGTTTTTTTTTATTTTACTTAGCTTGGTTAATAATTGACTTCATATCTCGTTCTTGAGACCCAACTAATATTGTTTCTTGTATTATTAAACATTCTTAAGGCAAAAAAATATTTTAAATTGTACTTTGCATCTCCATAAGCATTATAAAATCACGTATCTTGTTTTGGATTATTAAAACGGCTATTCCGTTATCTTTCAAATAATATTAATATCAAAATAAATATTAATAATTAATGGCTGCTCTTGCTAGCCCCGCCCCCCCCACTACACCTCATATCCTTTGATTGGGTGGGTAGACCACGCCTCCAGCAAGCCCCGTCCCCACTACGCTACCTGTCCTGTGATTGGCTGAGTAGACCACGCCTCCACTTAGTCCAACCCCCACCAGAGCGCACAAAACTAGTTGAATCTCTTTCAAACTTCACTGTACATCTTGTGTACTCGCACGGTACACATCATGTTCCGTCTCCTTTCAAACCCTTGTCTATCTATCCTTCCTTAACCATTTGCATTTCCTGAACACGCAACAGTGGTCAAACCAAGTTGCATTTCTATCCATCCTTTACATACAGCAGTGGTAAAACCAAGCTGTATTTAAATCCTTCCTTAACTTGCAGCAGTGGTCAAACCAAGTTGCATTTCTATCCATCCTTTACATACAGCAGTGGTAAAACCAAGCTGTATTTAAATCCTTCCTTAACTTGCAGCAGTGGTCAAACCAAGTTGCATTTCTATCCATCCTTTACATACAGCAGTGGTAAAACCAAGCTGTATTTAAATCCTTCCTTAACTTGCAGCAGTGGTCAAACCAAGTTGCATTTCTATCCATCCTTTACATACAGCAGTGGTAAAACCAAGCTGTATTTAAATCCTTCCTTAACTTGCAAATTGGAAAAACCATTTGCGTTTCCTGAACATGTGACAGTGGTAAAACCAAGTCGCATTTCTATCCTTCCTTAACATACAGCAGTGGTAAAACCAAGATGTATCTAAATCATTCCTTAACTTGCAAATTGGAAAACCATTTGCGTTTCCTGAACATGCGACAGTGATAAAACCAAGTCGCATTTTTATCCTTCCTTAACATACAGCAGTGGTAAAACCAAGCTGTATTTAAATACTTCCTTAACTTGCAAATTGGAAAAACCATTTGCGTTTCCTGAACATGCGACAGTGGTAAAACCAAGTCGCATTCCTATCCTTCCTTAACGTACAGCAGTGGTAAAACCAAGCTGTATTTAAATCCTTCTTAAACGTGCAAACTGGAAAAACCATTTGCATTTCCTTAACACGCAGCAGTGGTAAACCCAAGCTGCCCCTTTCAAGCCCTTGCCTATGTTATATGTCTAAAGGTTCTTCATGCATGTACTGTTTAGTCTTTCTTGCTAGATAATTTGCTTTAGTAGTTGTGACTTGGTGTTAGTGGTTTGAATCTTTGCATGTTTTTTTTAAATAACTAATGACCTTGACCTACTTGTATTATTGGTTATTTGAAACTTTATCTTTAAAATAGTTTCTCTGCCCACATGCAACTCCTCCTTTTAGATGTACTTATTCCCCCCACCTCTTTACCACACCCATATCTTCCCCCACTCTGTCTATCTATATCCCCCACCACTTAGGGTGGGTATAAATGAGAGAGCATATTGGTTAATAACATCATTCTGTTGCCAGCCTGCAGAAAAGCCATGGACCCCTGCCTAAGAAAGACTACTAAGCCAATGAAGCCAGTGGCAGGCATCAAAAGATCGAAACTTCAGGAGGCGTTGACTGGAGGTATTAAGAAGACGAAATCATCAACTCCTTTTGAAACCCTTGTCAACAAGACTCTCTCGCAGCCGGGATCCTCTTCTTCTGCTTTGTCTGACGATGCAAAGAAAACAACTACAATATCTACTCAATCTTCCCAAGAGCCTGGATCTTCCCTTGCCACCAAGACTCAGTCGCAGCCGGGATCCTCTTCTTCTGCTTTGTCTGACGATGCAAAGAAAACAACTACAATATCAACTCAATCTTCCCAAGAGCCTGGATCTTCCCTTGCTGCCAAGACTCTTTCGCAGCCAGGATCTTCTTCTGCTTTGCTTGAAGATACCATAAAGAAATCTTCTTCTGGTAACACTTCATTGAAGCAACGGTCTGATTCATCGTCTTCCTCTTCTTCTTCTTCGTCATCGTCTTCTTCATCGTCCTCGTCCTCTTCTTCTACGTCATCGTCCAAAAATCAAACAATTAAGTCCCCTCTATCCATGCTTCTCTCTCCCATAATTCTCTCCTTGCTATCTCCTATTAAATCTCCAGAAAAGCCATCCACTCCCAAACGTAAGCCATCTCCAAAACCTCAACCACATAGCCTAACTCTTCCTAATTTAAATTCCTCCTCGAACCAAATGCCTGACATAGATTCTCCTGAAATTACCATTCCAAAACCCCCACCCAAATCCCTTCCTGCTGCACCCACCGTTGTTAGAAAACTCTTTACTAAAACTGAATCCTCAAAAGAATCCCTTCCCTCCCATTCAAACCCTTCTGAAAAATTGGAAAAACTCATGGCCAAAAGACGAGCTGCATTTAAGCCCAAGCCAAAATGTTCTTATATTTTCCAAAAAGGGGTGAAAAAAGGTGAGCGTTGTGAAAAGTCCTGCTTTTCTGATGCTAATGTGTGCAGCCTCCACACTAAGGGGAAAAGCAGGATGGTACCCACTCAACCTACAATTATTAGCAGCAAACCTGTCGCTACCAATCCTCAGTCATTTGAAAGACCATCAATAATTGTCAAAAGCCAGGCTCAGGAAAAATCTTGTACATCTGATCCAACACCGAGCACCTCACGTGTTGTTGTGATGGACAAGATTTTACCTAGCCAACCACGAACGTCAGGCTTTGCTCGACCCTGTCGTCCACCACAAATTCAAGCTAAAAAAACCAGAATTGATAGGCTACCCAAAAACCGTAAATTCGAAATTTTACTGATGACACCAAACGGTGAAGTCATTTTAAGAGAAGGAAATGACAGGTTCCGACTTAAATTACCCAGAGGCATGACCATCCCGAATACAACCCACCGATACTATATAATTCGTGATCGGTCTTCGGGATGGGCATCTGTAACATTATAAATTGGTTTAGTTTCAAATTGATCTTAATTATCCTCTAAATTCTCCTTTAGTATGCAAAAATTGGGAACGCATTTGTTATAGCCTAACAAATGCGTTCCCAATTTTTGCATTTAAAGAGTGACCTTGAGATTTTAGAAATAGATTATTTTAATCAGAGATTTCTATCTAATTTACTCATAAAACATTAGAATCAAATTTGTTATATCCTAACAATGTGTTCCCAAAGTTTCGTGTATAATATTTTGACAAAGTTATTTTAGAAAACATATTGATTGTTCAGGTTTTCCAATATTACATCAACATTTTTCTATATTGTAAAATTAACTATTCTAAGGACATTTAAAAGATATATTATGTTTATCTCGTGTTTTGCAAAGATCTTCATTGCCATTCTGTATAAATTAAGTGTAACACTTTATGATGTAACTCAATATATTTGCATAATCCTCAAAGGCATCTTGGTAAACAAACACAAAATTTATTTGCATTAACTTTTTAAGGTTAATTCCTTTACATTTAATCTTCGTTAACAGGTTTACTTGAATAGTAGTTGTACATTTTATACTTAAGTAGTGTTGAACTTTACAAGACATAGAAAACAAATATATAAATGGTTAGCAACCATAATACTTTGTCACCATTCGTTTTTTTAGCATGGAAATAAATATGATAGAAGTTTCTATGTTTGGTTTTTCTTATTACAAGTACTTGGGAGTGATATTGGATAGTAGGTTAAGATGGGAACCCCATATTGAATATTTGAAGACAAAACTTAGAAAATTAATTTATGTTTTTAGAAACGTATGCGACATTTTAAACATTGATGAGATAAAAACTGTGTACTATGCATTTGTCCAATCAATACTTCAATATGGAATTATAGTATGGGGAGGAGCTAGTAATAATATTTTAAATCCATTGTTCGTCATACAAAAACTAATTATTAAAATAGCTTTCCAATTCAACAGGCGTTTCTCTACAAATTTATTGTTCAAAAATACTCAATTACTTTCGGTGCGTCAACTTTTTATAAAAACTTTACTTATATATACCTATTCCAATCAAGATTTGATAGTGACGCCAATCACGCATAATTATCCCACCAGAGGAGCTGTTAATGTAGGTATGCAGGTACCCAGAGTTTTCAAATCTGCAAACCTCACCAATGCCTTTTATATTGCGAATTTTTTGTATAGGAATATACCATCAGAGATTAGAGATCTACAGGTATCTCTTCCAGTTTACAAACGTTCGATAAGCAGTTGGATTGGAAGAGGATCTGGGTGGTCTTTGTTAAGCGTAGACAGCTTAGATATACGTGTACATAAACATGGGTATGGTGATAGAGGTAGTAGTTTCATCCCACTGCCCAAAAAGATTGCTAATACAAGAACTTGCATAAATGTTCAAAATGAGGACAATGAGTGTTTTAAGTATGCTGTTTTAGCAAAGTTTGTTGAAGACAGGCATGCCTATAGACCAAGCCGTTATTATAGTGAAGTGGCTCATAAATATAATTTTACAGGTTTGGCTTACCCAGTGTCTTTAAAAGATATCAAGAAATTCGAAAAACAAAATCTTAATTCATCCGTTAATGTGTATGGATTGGATGAGTCTAATAATGTGTTTCCTATTCAGATTACATCTCATGAACGTAGAGACCATACAGATCTTTTACTTCTTACAAATGGTAAAATCTCACATTATGTTTACATAAAAAACTTTTACGCACTTTTATCAAGACAGTTATCCAAAAGGAAGATGAGTCTCACCATTTGCAAACGGTGTTTTTGCTACGCTGCCAAACCATTTCATTTGGGGGGTAAGGAATGGTTACTTGACCACCAACGTCTCTGCAATAGTAAGGACAAAGTAAGGGTTAAATTACCTCACCCTAATAGAGCTTTTATTAAATTCAACAAAACGGCTCAACAATATCGAATACCAATTGTTATATATGCAGACTTTAAGTCATCGTTAGTTCCTTTAGTTTTAGATGAGTGTGATCAAAGTAAAATTAAAAAAATTCAATTTCATGAACCAAACAGCTTTTGTTTAATGCTTAAATCAACTTTGGATGAAGATCATTTACGTCAGTACGGGTTAACAACCCAACCACTTGTATATCGCGGTGAAAATGCTGCTAAGTCATTTGTAGATAACTTTTATGATATAGCTAATAAGGTGGAAAAACTGTATAGTTATGTAGTTCCAATGATTAATCTTACACATGATGAATTGACATTCCATGAAAGTGCGGATAGATGTTACCTTTGTGACTGTAGTTTTACAGAAGACAACAGGCGTGTTCGGGATCATGATCACCTGACTGGTTTTTACAAAGGCCCTGCTTGCAACAGTTGTAACATTAATTTTAAATTACCAAAGTTTATCCCAATAGTGTTCCACAATTTAAGTGGATATGACTCTCATTTCATAATTCCTGAATTAGGTAGGGACAAAGGGGCGATTGATGTTTTAGCTACAAGTACGGAGAAATTTATTAGTTTTTCGAAAAAAGTGGGTAAAATAAAATTAAGGTTTGTAGACTCTTTCAGATTCATGGCTTCTAGTTTAGAGAAATTGACAGCTAATTTGCAAAGAGAACATTTTATTGAAACTCAAAAGATTGTCGCATCTGATCACATGGATTTGGTTCTTCGTAAAGGAGTGTACCCTTATGATTATATTGATAATCCTGAAAGATTTAACGAGACCTCACTACCACCCATTGAGGCATTTTACAGTCAGTTAAATGATTCTAATATTGACCCTGAAGACTATCAACATGCTTGTCAGGTATGGAGTGAGTTAAACATGAACACCTTAGGCGAGTATAGTGACTTTTATGTGAAGTTAGATGTAACACTTCTTTGTGATATAATGGAGGAATTCCGTAACACCTGTATAGCGGCCTACGGATTAGACCCTCTACATTCATACACCTCGCCTGGATTAGCTTGGCAAGCTATGTTAAAAGAAACAAAATGTACATTACAGCTGTTAACAGACATTGATATGGTGCTTATGATTGAATCTAGTATCCGTGGGGGACTTACCCAGAGTGTAACAAGGCATGTCAAAGCAAATAATAAACACATTCCAAACTTCAAGAAGGAGGACCCATCAGTTTATTTAGGGTATTTTGACGCCAATAACTTATATGGGTGGGCAATGTCAAACCCACTTCCATATGGTAATTTTCAATGGATTGATCCAATAATATTAGGTGATGTAACAAGTATCCCAAAAAATGGAGACACCGGATTCATAATGGAGTGTGATTTTGAATACCCATCCACACTTCATGATCATCACTATGATTTACCTCTATTAGCTAAATCTGAAATACCACCAGACGGAAAACATCCTAAGCTGATGATGACGCTTAACGACAAGGAACGCTATGTTGCACATTTTTGGGTTGTCCAACAAGCCATCGAACTTGGTCTAAAATTAAAAAAGGTTCACCGTGTTTTACAGTTTAATCAATCATGTTGGTTAAAAACATACATTGACTCAAACACAAAAAGAAGAGCTGCAGCATCATCGGCTTTCCAAAAAGACTTTTTAAAGCTGATGAATAATGCAATAGGCTATTTGGAAAGACCCTAGAAAATAAAAGAAAACATAAAAATGTTAAGTTAGTGTTGGATCCCAAAAAGGTAGAAAAACTTGTAAGACAACCAAATTTTAAATCATCTATTATCATAAATGAAAATCTTGTTTGTGTGTCAATGGACAAAACTACTATTAAAATGGATAGACCTATGTATGTTGGTATGTGTATACTTGACATTTCAAAAACACACATGTACGACTTTCATTATAACAAGATGGTTTCATTTTACGGAAGAGACAATATTGGAATTATATATATGGATACCGACGCATATCTTTATTGGATCAAAACTCATGATATGTATGAAGATTTACGAACATTTATGTATAAAGACGATTTCGATTTTTCTGACTACCCGGTAGATCACCCTAACTATGACAATGGTAAACACAAAAAGGTGTTAGGAAAATTTAAAGACGAAACAAACGGAATCCCATTAGAAGAAGTAGTAGCACTAATGTCAAAACTATACTCATTAAAATTATACACTGAAAGTACCGACAGCGATATTGGTGTAATAAAAAAGGCGAAAGGAATTAAAAGTTTATATTTGAAGAAGAAACTCAAGTTTGAACATTTTAAAAAGTGTTTATTTGAAAACCAAGTTCATATTGCAACTTTCAAAACCATTAGAAGCTTCAACCATAGACTATATACGATTGTGCAAGAGAAGATTGCAATAACATCCAATGATAACAAAAGATACATACTGGAAAATGGTATTGACACACTTCCTTTTGGACATTATTCAATTGTAACTAATTAACCTAATAAATCCAAGCTGTTTCTTAGCTTATCCTATCTATCACCTTTCTCTGTCTCAATATCCTCCCCGTAAAGAAGAGGGGGGGGGGATAACCCCCCCCTCTTTTTTACACATTTTAAAATGACCTTGACCTATATAAATAATTGATAAATATCAGAGATATCCATTACTCCGACTGAGCCGTACAACGGATGTTATGATTGAATATGGTTTCTAAATGGCAAATTGTATCTGAAATTCATAAACCTGCAAGGAAAAACTTTCCAAGGAGGAATACAATTCTAAAAGGAAACCAAGCAGATCTAATTGAAATGATACCTTACAGTAAATTTAATAAGGGATTTAAATATATACTGACCGTGATAAACTGCTTCACAAAAGTTGCTGATGCCATGCCTTTGAAGGATAAAACCGGAAGAAGTGTGACCAAGGCTATGGAGACTGTTATCCGGAGGGATAATAACGTTATCAAACATTTGCAAACTGACGATGGAAAAGAATATTTCAATAAGGACTTTTCAGTGTTAATGAAAAATATAATATAAATCATTATTCAACAAAATCTGAAAAACACTTTTTCAACTGAAACTTTTTTTTTTTTGAAACTTTTTTTCAAAAAGGCCGCAATTATCGAAAGATTTAATAGAACGATAAAAGGAGATTTGTTTAAGGAATTTTCAAATAGAGGTTCTTACGTGTGGATTGATATTCTTGGAAAATTGTTGAACAACTACAACAATAGGTTTCACAGAACGATAGGTATGACCCCAAGTGAAGTAAATGAAAATAATTCAGAACAAGTTTTGAACAACATTAAAAGAAGCACACGTCCAAAGGTTGAAAAGATTTTACCACATAAATTTGTTGAAGGTGACAAAGTCCGTATAAGTAAATATAAGGGGATATTTAGTAAAAAATACCTACCTAACTGGACGAACGAAGTTTTCACTGTTTATAAGAGTGCAACCAACGTACCCAGAAACATATATTTTGAAGGACAATAAAGGCCAAATTTTACATGGAGGTTTTTATGGTCATGAGATGTTAAAATCTTCTACAGGAGATATTTACCTTGTTGAAAAAGTTTTAAAACGTAAAAAAGATAAGGTTTTGGTTCGTTGGCTTGGTTTTGATAAAAGTGAAGACTCTTGGGTGTATAAAGAAAATATTATATAAAAAACGTCATTTATGAAACAACCTTCACAGAGTGATGTCATGGACATTATACACAATGGATATTCTTTTGAAATTGAAAATATAGACAATTTAACTGTGGATAATGTAAAACTCAAAGAAGGTAAACATGGTAAATTATTACCAGACAGTGTAAGGTCTATAGTAAGTGGGCCGTCCAATTGTGGGAAAACTAATGTTGTATTTAACTTGTTAACAAACCCACATGGTTTGCGGTTTAATAATGTGTATATATTTTCCAAATCATTGGGTCAACCTAAATACCAGCTACTAGATAAAATAATATCGGACGTTAAAGAGGTATCTTTATTCAAATTCGATGCAAGCAGTGAAATACTACAACCTGGTGAAGCTAAACCTCATTCAGTATTCATATTCGATGATGTGTCATGTGAAAACCATGACACGATAAGAAACTATTTTTCCATGGGGAGACACAACAGTATAGACTGTATATATATTGGTCAAACATATAGCAAAATTCCAAAACAATTAATAAGGGATAATGCAAATGTAATTATAATTTTTAAACAAGATGAGATGAATTTAAAACATATATATAATGACCATGTTGGTGTTGATATGTCATTTGAAATGTTTAAAAAAATATGTTGTAAGGCTTGGGATGAAAAATATGGATTTGTTGTAATTGATAAGGATGAAAGTATTAAAAACGGGCGATATCGAATAGGGTTTGATAGGTTCGTTATAATACACCAACAGTAATACATTTTATCTATTAGTAGATTGAATTTCATGTTGAGAACATGGGTAGCCAAGAAAAGCTCGTAAAGGAAATAAAAACACTAAGTGATTCCATTAGAAGAAAAAACAGGGCTCTAGGAATGGGTATAAGTGAAAGAGATAGGTATTTAGAAACAACATTTAAACCTATCATTGAACCCATAAAAGACCTGTCACACACGTTTTCAAAATCAATTCAACCTACAGATAGTGAAATGTTACTACCTGTATCGAAATCAGAAGTACAAGATGGTTTAGAACCATTAACGACCTATAATGACTACGAAGATTCAGAAGAATTTGAGGACGCTGAGGAGACTGATGAA